GGGCAGCCACTGCGGAGCTTGGCCGTCCTCCTGGGGACGGCAGCCCTCGGCAGTAGCGAGTGGTGCTGCTGTAGGCCCGAGGGCGTGGGCGGCGCTCAGGGCGTTGTAGCGCGGCGAGGAGATCCCTGACGCGGTTTTTCTTCTCCTCCGGGTAACTCTGGAGTCGCTGGGGTTGGGGCCGGGCCGCGGCGTCGCTGCCTTACAGAGCTTTGTGGTGTCTCGCCTTGAGTCGCCGCTGTTGGGTAGCGGTGGGACCCGTCCCACTCTGTGCGAGGGAAGGCGCTCTACGCACAGAGAACGGCGGAGGTCTTCGTCTCCGTCCGTTCCCCTTTTTATTGCTGGTATGTAGGACCCACAGGAAGAAAAAAGATGAAGATGTCTTTCAGAGGCTGTTTTACCACGTTATTTCACATGATCAATACCATCTAAGTCACTGGGAGTGCTGTCAGTAGATAAATTGACTCATCAGTCACTTCTAGAATAGAAGTCTTTAGGTAATAGTAATTAGAATCACTTCTAGGTGGTGATAGACTCCCCAGGGTTTTTTTCCCTTTTTTTTTTGAGTAGAAACATACCTACCTAAGCAAATGATTATCTGCTTTTAATCAACAGTAAATGCGGATAGGAAGTATGTTGGCTGATTTTTAGGAGCAGCTTGAGATGCATTAAGAGTTTGTATGTAGCATCATTGGTAAAGCATGTCTGTCTTTTTTCACAAGGAACGTTAATCTGAAGAATGTCTGGAAGCTTCTACTTTGTAATAGTGGGTCATCATGATAATCCCATCTTTGAAATGGAATTTCTACCTCCTGGAAAAGCAGAATCCAAGGTATGTGGGTCAAAAATCTTATTAGTATGCAGTATCTTGTTTTGTTACAGAAACTTTGTGATAGCTGGTAGAACTTTGGAGTAATGAGCCTTTTAAAATCGCTTACCAGATCATACTAGTTCTCCAGAAACATGGTTTCCTTAAATATTCTGCTGCTGTATTGTGAAGACTATATGCTAGTCGTGCTTCAGTCATTTTTTTTTTTAGTGTTTAGAGCTCTTATTCTGACTGTTCATTATCTAATGTCATTCTCTATTTTAGGGTATCTGTACACAGTAATAAGGAAAAATAAGGGGTATAAATATGAAAGCTCTATTTTATTGTTTTACATATTTATGGTACAAGAAAAATCTATTTAATTCTTATTTATTAGTCATGCTTTCTTTTCAGTAAGGAAGGTTTAAAATGTGTATTGGTTAATAATTGTTAATAAGGATTTGAGAGTATGAGAAATGTAAGACTACTCAATATGTAGTGGGAAGAGAGTGTACCTATTAATTGTGATATTGTATCAAAGAATTAGTAGCCTTTAGAATGAAGGTGCATGCATGTGTGTGTGTCCGAACAATGGAAGTATGTGCTGTCACTGATTTAAACAGCATGGTTTCATCTGTATTTTGAACTAGTATCCCGTAAAAGATTGTAAATAAGATTCTTCAGGCTAGACATAGCGAGCGTAGGGAGGTATTGGATAGTGGAAAACTTCGTTTTCTCTGTTCTGCTAATAGAAATAGCTTGACTCAAATAAGTTTCCTGTCTGATTGAAGATGTAGTGCTAGATTTACTCCTAAGAGAATCTAAATTGCACTGAAAAACTTGTAGGCATTGGCAACTGTCACTCTTGTTTCTCAGATACACCATTTAAGAGTGAATTCAGTGCAGATACACAGCCTCCTGAGCTAAACACCTTGTATGTATATGTAAATCACCACAAGCTTTTGATCTTCAAACTTTACTGCTTAATCTATTGCTCAGTATGTTTTAATGGAACTAGTGAAGCTGTTAATGCTCTGAGTCAGACTTGATTTGGGGGGAAAATACAGTGTGCCGCAAGGTGCGAGAGCAGCATTAATAGTATCCCTGTATTATAAGAAACCATGGAAGAGTACTCACATTCCCAGTCTAATGGAAGCTTACAGTACAGAAACAGCTTACCCATGTTTCTTCTTACTGGATGTCTGCTAATGTTCTAGTTATATTAAGTACATGACTTTCCCCACACAGCTTGTTCTGGTATTCGGGCCAAGCACTGTGATTACTCTGTGACGGCTGTTCCTATTTATTATGGAAAGAGGTGCAACTTGTATCTACCGAAGATATATGTAATACCAATTGCTGGACTTTTTTCTACGCTAGGCTCTTTGTAGGGTGTAGGGGGAGAAGCACCAAAACAATCAAAAAAAAAAATCTAGGCAAATCTGAAAAAAGGAAAATCTTTCACTGATATCAATGCATCTGTCTTCTGTGTTTCTACTTTCCCTTCCTGTGCCTTTTTACACATTTTAACCCATTGTTTAGTTTTAGTCAAGTCTGACACAGAGGTTATGGTCCAAAAGATCCTAAATTGCTGTAAATTTCAGAAAAGCAGATGACTAGAAAGCAGGGAAAAAAACCTTATCAGGACCCCTGTTGTAGAAGGTTGAACCTCTGTGGGAGTTTACCCATTGGTAAACATCAGTGAATCCACGTGTGAACTCACTGTTGACATGTAATCGCACAGAAAGCAAGCTTTACTGGTTCTACTGTTCATAAGACTATTCTGGTGATGCTTTACCTTTTTTTCCTCTTGAAAGCAAAAATTGTCACTACACGTTATACTAGTTTAATCAAAAGGTGTCTCATATGTGGCAAAAGAGAGGAGTATAAAGAACTTCATGTAACTTGAGCCCTAGTTGTTCAGTTCCTTGAGCAAATTATCATTTGGATTTAACTCCCTGAATTACTAATCATCTGTTTTCTGAAATTGTATTAGGATGATCATCGCCATCTCAACCAGTTCATTGCCCATGCTGCTCTTGACCTAGTAGATGAGAACATGTGGCTTTCTAACAACATGTATCTGAAGACTGTGGACAAATTTAATGAATGGTTTGTTTCTGCTTTTGTCACAGCTGGACATATCCTTCTTTCTGTCTTCTCTCTCCCTGTAATTATGGAGCTTTTTGCCAGAAAGTGAAAAATTAGATGAAATGGCTTTGGAAGAGCTTTCTCTGCTAGTTTCAGCTATTTTTGTTAGAGAGAGCCACCAACTTCAGGAAGTAAGTTGGCAGGCACAGAAGTTGTTGCATATTGGGACTAATTAGAAAGATGGGCCTTTCCTTTTGGAGGAGCTGAAATAGTCTAATAAAATGTGAAGATTTTATGAAGTAGAGGAAAGAGAAATGAGAGAGGAATGGTATGAGAGGGTCTGTGCAAGCTTATCTTCTACTACATCCATCCATTTGATAGTGCTAGAGAGGAAAAGTAGGGATAAGCATGCTTGGTGTCAGTCACCCATATCTTCAAAATACAGATATCAAGGCTTGATCTTATGAAAATAAAGTCCTGACGGTGTTTGTTGTGAAACATTTGTTGTTTATAGCAAGTAGTCTTGGATGTCGTTGTAATTTCAGGGATATGGGGCAAAAGTTGCTGAGAAGGTCATTCCAATTCAGAATGGTCTGGCTTTGAAAAGAAATGCTTCCGTGCTTGAATGCAGAGGTGATTCCTTTTGTTTTCAAATGGAGGAATTTTAAAATATAAATGGAAACATAATGCTTTCTAAATTTCAGTGCTTCGGTTATTTCTTTAAATGCTTCCTCCTATACAGTTGCTGCTATTTCATGTAAAGCTAAACATTTTACACGTGTGCAGAATTAGGTGTAAATGCTTGTCTCTAAAAAAGACAAAATTTAATATATCTTTTTGGTAAAGTTACTTGGAGATGTTGAAAGTTAAATTTTCCTTAATTGCTTTACATATGAGATTTATAATGCTTCATGATGTCAGGCAAGAAGATGGAATTAAGAACTTCTTTAATGATGTCTATGACTTGTATATAAAGGTAAGAACCAACTTTTTATGAACTCACAGCAATATTTTTAAGTGTGTTCTGTTGTACATGCTTAAACATGCCTATATTACCATGTTTTCCTATGCTCACCAGTGTAAGGGAAGAAGCACCCATGCTGTCCACAGCAGCCAGAGTTGATAATGTGTGACATAAAGGCTACATTTACTATTTAACAGAACAGATTTTTTTAAAATCATTTATAAATTATGCTACTGTAGATTTTCATTTTTAGTCCACTGATATGGGGCAGTGTTTTGTCACATATGGTGATAATGAAAGCCAAGGACTGTTCTACAGAACAGCCTGGTACAAATGCATCTCTTGAGCAGGAGTAACCCATGTTTTCACAGCTGGGCTGTGTTTCCGCTAGATGGAGCAACTGCAAACATTGATTTGGAGTAGGAGGCCATCTCAGCCTGCTACTAAGACTCAAATGGTGCTACTTTTTTAAAATAGAAATTTCCACCAGTGTCATGATGGATTATTTCTTAGGAACTCTTTCTAAGAGATGGCTGTGCATGTATATGGGGAGAACGCAAGAGCAAGTGACTTGAAAGTCAGTATTTAAGTGTTCTCTGCTCTTAAATGGCACTACATAGGCTGAAAGCTAATACTAGTTGTCACTTGGAATATTTTTTTCAGTTCTGGACATTGTGTATATTTATGAGTTTTTCTTCTTTCCTCAGTTTGCAATGAATCCATTTTATGAACCCAATTCTCCTATTCGATCAAGTGCCTTTGAAAGGAAAGTGCAGTTCCTTGGGAAGAAACACCTTTTAAGCTGAATAAATAACTTTCCTAAGTGAGTGCTTTTTTGTACCTTTCTGATTATTTGAACTGTAGTACTTTTGGTTAGTTCTCAGCAGATAGACCAATCGGATGCTGAAGAAGTTTTTTTTGTTGATACAAATAAAAACAACCAACCTTCCCTGGTTAAAAGATGTATCTTAACAAGTTTCCATTTATATCTTATGAAAATTAAGTTTAAAATGTCAGGCTGAGTAGATACAAATCTGACTAGTCTACACTTGTGGGTGTCAAGAAACATGCAAAGTGTAAACCTCTTGATAGAGGGTGGGAGGAAATCAGTTCTAAACACAAAAGATGTCTTTCACTCATGTGATTTAAGAAGAGCAAAATGGAATTTCTGACTGTTCGACCTAAAAGCTTCATTTTGTTAAAAAGCTTTCTACTTACAGTCCTTAGCTAGAAAACTTACCCTGGAGAACATCAGACTAATTTTACCCCTCATGGTATTAAATCATGTCTATATCAATATTATAACATATGTAGATAAAGTGCTAAATATAAAGGAATGAGAGGGGTATCAGAAAAGGCTCTGCAGTGTTATCTTCAGTCTTTCAGCAAGTTTTAAAGCTTGAAATTGCAAATTACCAGCTGTTTTTAGTGCAATATGTATTTAGCTGCAGTGTTGTATCAGTGAAATGAATGAATAAAGTGGACCAAAACAGTTCTGTTTGCCCTGACTTTCAGTATAATTCACAAGTAGAAATAAATGCTAATGTACGTGTTTAAACCCGTCTTTACCATGAAACTCCATTTGTTGAGGTTTCAAAAGGCATTATTTGGCCCATTTGGCTATTGTTCCATTATGAATTGTGGTTAGGGGCCCTTTTGCAAAACTTGTCATCATTCCAAAATAGTAATTTAGCAAATACGCACCTAATGGTTTCACTTGTGTTACAATCTTTTAAACAGTTTGTTTCTTTTTGCAGCAAAATTGTATAAACTATTTTCTTGCACCTTTTGTTTAAATGTCTGAAAAGTAAATTCCAAAGGAAGTGGCAAGCTGTTCTAGAAAGTACATTTTGCATAGTCTGTATGACTAAAAAGACCATGTGAATAGGTGCTTTAAATGTATAGTCAGTCATTATTTCTTTGTAACATATGCTTACTCCTAAACTGTCACTGTAAAGTATACCATGAAAAAAGCAACAAATAATAGATTAAGAATATTTACCAGATATTTACCTTAAATAAAATGTGATATGGTGAGGTATGGATGCCTGTTGAGTGTACTTGAAATGATTTAAAAGAAAAATAGATGTCCATTGGCTACCTTTTTTGGAGGTACAGGAAGTGAAGATGGGAATATTTCTCTGTAGGAGTATTTCATAAAACTGCATCATATAGCACTTTGATAGTGTTATGTAATTTCATGTAAATCAGCAGATTCTTGGTAGATACATACATGAAACCAAGAGAAAAGTACTTGAGGTAAAGCATTCCTATTTATACAATAGGAGCCATTTAGTTGGAGCTCTTGTGCTGTTTTCTACCTCCTCCTCTAGTATGTCATTAACTGTACCTTCACTTAAAGAACTGACATAGACAATGTTTTAAGTTTCTTAATTAGAAATGATTAGCTCTTGAAAATAAGAATTACCATTCTTGCAGGGATCTAAGAGTGAGAAAGCTGTAAGGGAACAGCCTTCTTTTAATTCACGTAGCATCTGACTGGAAAAATTCTAACAGTTAAGGTTCAAGGAAATACTGATGTTAAATAGTCATTCATGTGATAATGAGAAAGTAAAAAATAAAGGATTAGTGCTGAGAGTTTTTATCACTTAAAAACAGACAATTATATTCTTTGCTACCATGAGAGTAGGAATTTTTATAAAATGAAAGCATTTTATCCCTTCTGTCCTAAGACAGTTAGACAAATAGTGCCTATTCTCATGCTTTCTACCCCTTAACTCTTCTTATTTTCTTCTGAAACTGTGAAGGGGAAGGTAGATCCTATAGGCTTTAATGAAAACAGGCTGTTAGTGGCCATGGGAGAGGGAGAATTACAACCCAACTCATCTGATTTGTCCTTACAGCATTTGTGGTGGGGCAATTTATCTTATGACAATCTCCAAGAAACCAGGTTAGGTCTCTATGATTTCCCCCCACACAGAGCATGTTTTGTGTTGTCACTTCCTGCAGTAAGCTGAAAGATTGCTATCTGGAAGTGACAGCTGGAAGACTTAGTTGTAATCAAAGTCACAGATCTGCTGTAGCCATGAAATACGTAGTTCTGGCATGTATCAGGCTGTGTATTTCCAACAATATGGAGGTCAGCAGACAGGGCAGAAGAGATACCTCCTTTGCAAGTATATATACCAAGCTCAGAGGCTTGGGCATATGAATTCAACTGAAGGCACTTATCAGTAGCAGTACGAGAAAGAAGTGACTAACCTGTGTTATGGAATAAAGGAAACAAAAAGCCATTGTGGGTTAAAGGGGCTAGAATTGTTCAAAAAAGTACAAAAAACAAGTGTAAGGAAGTGACAACAAGATCATGAACCAGCCTTAACAAAACTAAGCTGGAAATACAGTTCCTAGAGTAAACTTCCTGCAGGGCTCTGCTATTAAGTAATCTGTTGTAGTTAACTGAGTCAATTTAGAGCTAGATCAATCTGAGGAACTATACAGCCACTAAAGTAAGGCACAAACTGGTTCTCAGAGTAGTAGATGCTCAGAGCATCTATGTACTCTGTTGTAACATGAGCTGTTAGCTGTGTCCTAGCTATTGTACACTGCTTGAAGTTTAAGAAAAAATGCAGTCTCTTCTTCCCATCCCTATTTTGTGTCTGTTTTAATATGTAGAGCTTTCACCAATCTATTTGCATGACTGTTTTTACTTTCAGGTTCCTTTTTTTGAGGATGTTCTAGGGCTGCTTCTCTAACTTTCTTGCTCCTCTTCTTAAAGGACATCTGGAATTTTGCATACATATCCTGTAGTATGCTGTATGTTGTTCTACAGAACCTTAGCTCTTGCTAACAAGACCCCTAATATTTAAGCTACATTAATAGTGGAAGTCAGAATGAACTGAAACATAAGACACAAGTGCCTGCCTTATCTCCATATTGAATCATAGATACTAAGGCTTCACCAAGTATAGGAGCGCATATTTATTAGTAAACATTATGAAGAATTTTTTGGTCTTATCCACATCTGTTTGTCATAGAACTTCTCCCTCCTCACCCCCACTTCTTTGAAGTATGCAGTAGTCTCCCTCTCAGACCAATTCCTGACCTCAACACAACTGCTATGCTATTGAGCATGTAAACTCCCTTTATTGTTAATAACCACTGTTGTGATTGGCGTACAACTTCAGTGCAGCAGTTCCTGGGCACATGGAATACATTTACATTGTATTAAGTATTATTTATTAAACCTACTTCTCAGTTTGCAGGTTTGGTGATAATGACATTACATAGAAAGGAAACAGAGGGGAAAAACACAGACAAGGACTGTTAGGCACAGGAAAGCCCCCTTGATCTTTGCGGGTTTTAAAATAGTGCTCATCCTTAATCTGTTTCCTTTTAGCAGTCTCTCTGACTTGAGTTGTATCTCAAGTCATGCTACCTTTATATACTATTACTGTTTTGTTTCAGCCTCACTTCTGCTAATCTGAAGGTTAAAAGAAGCTTTAAGTAGTGAAGGTATAGTTTTACTTTACAAGAAACATTTCATGTCATTAGTTTAGTTGCTTGTTTTGGGGGCTATCTTAGTTTTTAAAGTGTTTTCTTCTCTCAGCATAAAGTTAGAAGACTTTACAGTTAAGAGTCTCTTTCCTCACAGAATCACAGAATGGTTGAGGTTGGAAGGCACCTCTGGAGATCATCTAGTCCAATCCCTCCGCTCAAGCAGGGTCCTCTAGAACACATTGCCCAGGATCGTGTCCAGGCAGGTTTTGAATATCTCCAAGGAAGGAGACTCCACTACCTCTCTGGGCAACCTGTGCCAATGCTCTGTCACCCTCACAGGAAAGCAGTTTTTCCTCACATTCAGGCAGAACTTCCTGTGTTTCAGTTTGTGCCTGTTGCCTCTTGTCCTGTCAC